CTGTTGGTGTGCTGGGGGTTCTTCCTTCCCAGATGCAGCACTTTGTATTTCTCTATGTTGAACCTCATCTGGCTCTGTTCTGCCCAACATGCCAGCCTGTCTAGGTCTGCTTGTATCTGCAGCCTACCTGCGGGTGTGTCCGCGCAACCCCATATCTTGGTGTTGTCCGTGAATTTGGCCAGTGGGCTTTTCACCCCCTCATCCAATTCGTTGCTGAAGATATTGAAGTACTGGGCCAAGTACCGACCCCTGTGGTATGCCGCTGTGCACATCTTGCCAGGACAACACCAAGAAGAACTGCTGTGTTCAAAGTGGCCCTTGTATCTCATTGTCATGGGTTCATTTGAAAAGATAAAAGTGTGTTAGGCTGGGGGAATACTATAAAAAGTGAATGAAAACTGTGGCTGTCCTTGTAAGAAGGAAGGGTAGATATGCACCTTTTAGACTAACTAAATAAGATTACATATGAGAGCACAAGCTTTCATGAACCCAGGTTTGCTTTATCGGATGTTGTGAAAGAACATGCCGAAAGGAAATTATAAGGAGAGAGGAATTTAAGAGTACAGTACCTTTCAAATAGCTGTCAGTTATTTGAGACACCACAAATTTTGTAAAGAAACTGGGCTCTGTTGACAAGTTTTCAACAAATACCATATTAGCTACCATGGATATCAGTCTCTATACCAACATCCTGCATAAGGATGGATTACAAGCCATAAAGAACCTTCACCCTGACAAGAAAACTGCTTTATAAGCTCTCCTGCTTTATTCTCACGCATCTATTTCAGGTTTGTAGGTAGAGGGAGTCCCTAAATAAATGGCAGTGCCTCTCCCTCTGAAGAAGGGTGTTTGCACCCAAAAGCTTGTAAAGAGCAATTTTTCTAACCATTTAGTTGGTCTAATAAAAGCATAGGTGACTAGTGCCTCCTGATGCTGGGGGTCCCCCAGCAGCTGATTGCTGACTGAGGGTAGGGGGTTCCCCAACAGCTGACAGGGCTGGGGGGAGAGTCTCCCAGTGGCTGATCACTACCACTGGTGGAAGTGCTGCTGGTGCTTCTCTCGGTGCCCCCAGAATTTCAGGGGCGGCACTGACCTGCACCCCCCACTCCCCAGCCGGTGAGGGCCAATCTCAGTCTCAGGGGGAGCACATGCCCCCATTATGTGTCACCTATGAATAAAATGTATCACATTTGCCCAAGTAACCTTGTCTGGCACTGCCATAGGCACATGTGTGGCCACTCAGTATGCCAGCATATTTATGACAGACCTTGAAGTTCATTTCTTCTGCAGCTGCCCTCTTACCCCCCTGGTATACCTTCGGTTCATCAATGACTTCATAATATGGAAACATGCAAAGGAATCTCTAGAGAAATTTCACCAAGATTTTTTTTAATAACTTCCACCCCTCCATTAAACTAACTCTGGAATGCTGCATGCAGCAAATTCATTGCCTGGGTACTCCAGTAAAGGTTTGCAGCGGCCACATCCCCACCACGTTGTATGAGAAATCTGCTGCCCGTTGCATCAACCCTCTTGCCACCAGCTTTCATCCTAAGCATACCAGTACATTCATTGTTTACAGACAGACTCTGTTACGACCGGATCTGCTCCAACCCCACTGACCAGTCTGAACACTTTAAGGATTTAGAACAGGTACTTACAATTACAATACAATCCCAAAACTATAGCTAGTCAAATCAACAAAGCCAGACTAAGACCTTGCTCAAACCTGCTACAATATCTGGCCCAGGACTGGGACAGCAAACCTCCTGGTTATCACTTACAGCCCCCAGTTTGGACAGACCTGTCCTGGCTTACAGGCAGTGCCCCAACCTCAAATGGTATTTCTCAAACAACAAATGAACGAACTCCCGTCCTAACTGAGGCACCAGGCCTTTCAGTGGACTCAAATGCCTAACATGTGTCCACATGGCTAAGGGCTACCTCATGACCTGGATGTAATTACAAGAAGTACAACATTGAAGGGTCATTCACCTGCAACTTTACCAAACTCATATGTGCCATCACCTGCTTTCTACATCAGACAGATGACAGGTTTCCCTCGCCAACTGCAGGGGTTAAGTTCCTGGAAGTTCCTGTGGTTGGGAAAATTGCAGTTGGTAAAACCAGAGGCTTATGGGGAAAAATGGGGTTAGGGATTTGAATGGGGCCCTGGACAGGCTGGGTTGTGAGACTGTCCAAGCCTGGTGGTCGCAAGAGCCGCCCGCCTGCATCCCTAGACAAGCTATTAAGTGGGGGGAGAGGAGGATTGAGGCCCCTTTAAGCAGGGAACTGGGCAGGCCTGGGGCTGCTGCCCAGCCGGGTATTGCTGGGGGCTTGGGGCCACAGCGGGGAGCAGGACGGGGCTGTGGGTGGCTCATCTGGGGGAGGGGGAGGGCTGCGGCCCTCAGTGCAGCCCCATGCACAGGAGGCGTGTCACTGGGGCAGTGCAGGGTGAGCAGTGGTGGGTGAGGAGATTCCTGCTCGGCTTCTCTGCTTCCTGCCATGCTGGGTTGCAGGGGAGGGGAGCAGGGCAGCAGGACACAGCAGCAAGTGGGCCTGGTGTTCCCTGCTGGTGTCCCCTACAATGAGTAGGACAGCTCCGGCAGTGAGGCGTGGATGCAGGGAGCAGAAGCTGAGCCCAGCTGTGTCCCGCTCCTGTCCCGTGCAAAGATTGGGGGCCCACGTGCCCTCCCCCAACTCCTTGGCTCCCCGGCGCCACGCCGCCTCTGGAGGAGCCACTGGGCTCCAATTGCCCCACGAGCTGGCCCGGCCAGGGCCTGATTCACCGTGAATGGGGCCCTGGCCATGCCGGGTCATGGGACAGTTTTGGGAAGCATATGCTGTGCTCATAAGTGATAGTGGCTGGATAGCTGTTTTGTGTAATTTTCTACTGAGCCTCAACTACAGAATCATAACTGGCATCTAACTTCTGTCTAGTGTGAATGGTATGTTTAGTTGACCCACCCAATGTAGCACCACATGACATATTATGGGGAGTGATGACTAGAAGCTTCAGGGAAGGTTTGAAAGTACTGCCTTAATATCTGCTATCTGTTGAAAGCCCCTACTACCACTGCAGGTTTCAGTTTCAAGATGCAACATAATGGTTTAACTCTTGCTTTTATGTAGTCTCTCTGTAAGTGAGAAAAGCTAGGCTGATCACTAAATGCATACTGCTGCTCTTTAAGGTCTTTATTGGTGCTAAAGATTGCAAAGTGTGGGGGATTTTCTCACTCAGACACTCTTCAAGGCTTATACTGATATTATGATTTCAGACAAAAATTCACGTGACAATTTTTAGGTGAATAGTTCATAAAACCCATTAAATCCTAAGTCACACTGTCGATGTTGCACTTATATTGCCAATTAATGCTCCTTATAGACTGTGCTCTTTGTGGGTTAGGTCTTTGTGCTTATCTGCTTAGGACTGAAATTCCCACTTTCCCAATGAACCACAGTTTTCAGATGAAGTTGCATAAGGTCATTGGACCTAAAATTGCAGGTCTGTAGAGCTTAACTGCCCCTGAGACATTTAAGTTCCAAGCAAAACACTTAGACTTGTCAGTGGAACTTCTCACTTGCTTGAACTTGGATACATGCCTCGCTGACAAAGCCTTTTTCATCTAGCTAGCTTGTTTGTTAACAAACTGATCTTAAATTCAGAAGTGTGTGGCTTTTTTAATACGTTGATAAATGAGCCAAAAAACCCAATCTGTACTACAGTCTGTACTGTACCTGTAAAAGGAGTAATTTATTTCCCAGTCAAGTGTTATGTCTCTACTACTAAATCATTTTTGCTCATATAATAAGCACCTTCTTTTACTATCTTCTAGATGCAGTGTGTGGGTTCTTCTTGTGGCTGTCTGTAGCTTAACATATTTCTGAACCTATATAAGAGCTTTGTATATAATTTTTAGGGAAGTGCTAGCTTGAAAAATCATGGTCATTTCTTCATACTTGAAAGCAGTTTTGAGATGGAAGAAAAAATGTCAGTCTCTCTCAAATTTCCCCATTCAGTTGTTAAAGATGTGTATGCAAGTTTTTGGGAATTTATCCACTCATTTCACTGGCTCCAGGGTATAGATTCTCTCCTAAAATGGCATGCTGCTTTTGTGAATAGTAATAAACATGAAGAGTTACCTTTCAGATATTAGTTGAAACGTATACTTCAAAAGAATCTATGAAATAGGGAACTTATTCACTTAAATTTTACTGGCTTTGGGATTTTACCTGGGAAAACCTCTGTGTTTTCAGGGTTTAACCTTTCCAATGCTAGGTAACTGGTAAAAGGATAATCTTCTTTTTCTTTCCCTCTGTGCTTCAAAGAAAACATTACAACAGTCGGAGGGTATTGAGTTAAAACTAACTAGAACTACAAAAGCATACTTGTTAATATTTTTGCAGCTATTTTTTGAAAAATAAAGTGTGAGTAACCCACATTCCTGTCTTTTAGCATCATATTTTTATTTGTTAATTTAGGTTTTTATATGTACTTATTCAGTCCATAATAATAAATCTTTCCATGTTCAAGATGCATTGATCTTCAGACAGTCTTGGATTACAGTATGAAGAAATATTGCCTACATTTTATGTGGATTCAAATTTAGTGAAGTTGGTAAATTAGTAAAGAGCCGTCCTAATTTTAGAGATATCAAAGTGAGCAAACCTGTATCTATTTACATGACAGAATTCCAAAAAAATCACTTTAACACAAGCTGTTTATGCTGCTCTTCTCTGTAGTTGCTACTTGTAAGCCAAACATGAAGGCATTTTGAACACATGTAGAAGCCATGGTGCTTTTTTACTTTTATCTTAGATACTTAAGATATAAAACATGTTATACTGAAACTTCTAACGGTCTATAGATTAATGTTAGCCAGTGTTGCTGATTGATAGTGTGAGGTAAGAAACCTCCCAAGGTATAATGCTTCGTTAACCAGTATTTAGTTGAGCAAACAATTTTTCATTAGTTAAATGCCTCTAAAATACTTTCCTAGGGTTCAGTTTAGCAGCTTTTAAGAGGAACAAGAGGAAGCTGGAGCTGGCAGAAAAGGTGGAAACGGATCTTATTCAGCTAAAGAAGAGAAGACAATCAAGTGAAAAGGTGAGTAGGTATTTCATTAAAATTTTTTTTGTCATCCTTAACAGACAGACAGTTTTTGAATTCTTCATTTAAAAATGTTCACTTTATGAGTAAGATGACAGCTGATACAGCTTTACAAATCACTTGTCTTTTGTTATCTTAGTATCTGTATAATATAACAATAGTATTGTCTTTATTAACAACTACACCAATAAACATTCCTCCTGTTTACAATGTAAGAAGCAAACTCTGAAAAGAGATGACACTTTGTGTCTTGTAGTGTACATAAATATCTTATGTGACCTTTTTTTAAAACTGTTTTACATTATAGTGAAACTGTGACAAATGTCAAAACATAAATATCTATTAAAACATTTTCTCCAGCTAGGGATCTCTGTCACTGTTTTCCACTTTTTAACGTTTCCTGGGAATGCTGTTCTGTGGACCTGGAGGTGGTGAAATTTGAAATATCAGGTAGGTAAACATGTGCATCAGTGCATGCATCTAGCATTGACCTGGCCCATATTACTTATGCTCCTTTACTACAAATCTCTCTCAACTCTCTCTCTCAATTCTCCTCCCCATTAGTTTGAATTTAGAGCCATTGTTGTCATTTCAGCACCATGACTGTTGCCAAGCATTTGTGTATATAGTTGTATCAATTTGTAGCTGGCTAAAAAAAGGATACTTAATCTCTCCAGTACTAAATGAGAGGACAATTGGCCGTGGACTGTATAATTTACTCCTTATGTTGTTCTGTCACAAAGAGGCTATACATGTGGCAAGGTAATCTCATCAAATACATCTGTTGGGACATGAGGCAAATTCTGTTGAGCAAAAGGCTATTCTTTTGGGATATTTCTCTTTTTCTTTTTTCTTTTTTAATGGACTCTTGCACTTTATTTGGGGCTATGGATGGTCTTGGTTGTTCAGGTCTCCATACTCTAGTAGCTTGATTCTCCACCGTTTTCTGAAATCACTTAGACTTATGCAAAAAAAAAAAAGATAAATTTCAAGCAATTTATGGTAACATTTTGCACTTTTAATGTACAGGTGCAAGTGGTGTGCAATAGCAAGGCAGAAAAAATGGGTCAGTTTCTGTTATATACTTAGACCACGGATGCCTTGTGTAAAGGTGTTAATTTCCAATTGTCAAGGAGATGAGGATCTGTAAGAATATAACAATAACAAAAAAATGGGTTATTAACTGATGTTATAAACTGTGCCTGTTGCTTACAGATTTTCACACACCTTGTTAAACTTCCATTTTCTATGATATTAATATGTAACTGAGGGAGGAGGGGTCTCTGCAAAGTATTGATATTCATGTAATAAGGGGCAAGTCAATGCTTGACATGTGCCAGTGCATGAGCTTACCAACCTGCAATTTGAAATTTCAAGGGTTCCAGAGTCATGTGTCAGCGCTTATTGGAAGCATCCAGAAACCAGTGGTTGTAGGTAGAGGAGGTGACCTAATAGGAGAGCTCTGCTTTTTGGTAAGTAACTCAATCCAAGAACTAATTAGTGAATTCAGTCCTTAAAGACCAACAGCCCTGAGGAGGAAGTAGAGCTAATACATAGAGTTTGGGGTAAGGTAGCTTCAGGTTCTTAGTATGACATTTTAGAGCAGCAAGTAATCTTCAGTTCTGAAGCCCTTGGAGTGTCTTTCAGTAGACCAGGAACAGCATAGTCATAGTCAATAATGACATACAGCCAAACAGTTGACTCCCTACTGCAGATTTACAAAAAGAAAATTTTTAGAAATAAATGCAGTCAATTGTCAGAAAATCTAAATATTCTGCTGTGCGTGGTACGTAAGATTTAGACCTCAATTGCCAGCGACAAACTAGTTCTGTAGGCACAACTTCATTATGTTTTAAAATTATTTTTGCAGTTTATTTGAAAATTTTTCTTTAGAAACTTGTGTAATGAAACACCTGAGAGAGAGTAACTTGAAGATAATAACTTGTTAAGCCATTTTACGACATTTCAGGGGTGTTTAAAATAGACGTACACATTTTTCAGAATTATATGTGTCATGACTTGCCCATTCGATGGTACATGGTTTGAGGAACTACACTCCTTTTACATGTGAACTAATCAAATACATTCATAAAGGGATATTGTTTCTCTTGAGTTGGAGGGTGTAAATCATTCTGAGGATAGCCATAGAATACAAATGTATTGGCAAAATGATCATCCTGAGAGTTGCGACCAAAAGTGTAAGGAAATATTAGATACTCAATTTTTATCTTCTTCCTGTTAAATTATTTTAGTATAAAATGCCATATACGTTATAAAAATCAATCATAAAAGCCTGGCTTTGAATGTGACTACAAATGATTGTTAGTAGTCGGGCATGGCAGAATATCCTATTACTAATCTGTGTGCTTCTTGTTGCATGCTTTTTTACAGTTGTACTAAAACAAGGCATTTGAATAACAGTGACAGGTTTAAGGTGCCTTGCTAAGGATCTGCAAGTGTGTATTTGAGACTTGCTCTGAACTTGTGCTGAAAGCTGGCCCTGATTGACCCAGCTGTAAATAATACCTGGTCATTGAGGCTGGGGTGAGCCAGCATTGATCCCTTATGTTCCTGGAACTGACTTGATTGCATATAAATTGATTCAGTTTTTTTTTTTGTATTACATCATAGGTGACATTTCTCATTCGCAGTCTTGACAATTTTATGTATGCTTATCCAGATCCTGTTAAATTGCAACATTAGGGGTGAGAACTGGGTTAAGAATACCTGTAGAAATGTATTAATCTTCTTTGTTCAGATTATGTGCATAGATGGTGCATTTTAGTTGCTTCATTGTTCCTAAAATTAAAGCTAAAGTAGTCTTATGGAAATAGTTAACAAGCATGGGAGTCGACTGAAAGCAACCACAATGTCTACTTTTAGCTATTCTTATACAAGGAGAGTACATTTTAAAATCATATGCAGCCCTCAAAGGGAAAATAACTCTTTTGTCCTGAGCTAAAACTACAGTGACTTTCTACAGTACACAAAATGGTCAACCTATAAGAAGTGCATGTAATTCTTCTGGTTAAAAATAAGTGTTAATAATTGTAGTTTTAACACAGTGGTCATCAACCGGTTGATCCTGATGGACTGGTAGATTGGGGACCCCTGACAGTTGATTTTGACTGTCAGAGGTTGACTGTCAGAAGCTCCACGATTGGGAGCAGCTGGGACGCAGTCCAGGAGTGGCAGGACATATGATCAGCAAAATGCACATGGCTGAGCTGAGCCACATCCCCCGCTGCTGGGGCTGGGCTGGGTGAGTGGGGCCCTGGATGGGCTGGGCTGGGCCAGACCAGGGGAGGATCAGAGCCTGGATGGCTTGTCCAGGTGTGCTGGGGGGCTCCTGCCACTGTGTGCACCTTGGCGGAGGCCTGGGGGACCTGTGTCCCCCCGATCTGTGCATGGGGCAAGGCTGCTGCTGCTGGGTGCTGGGTTTTGCGCCCCTAGCCCTGCTGCAGCTTGGGGCACAAAGTTTGGGGCACAAAGCCCAACACACAGTGACAGTCTCCTTGCCCTGCACACAGATTGGGGGCATGTGGCCCCCCCAAATGTGGGGCAGTGGGGGTGGCTGCAGCAGTGGTGAAGGAGGGAGTGGGGCTGGAGCAGGGGCAGGCCCTGCAGCCAGGGCAGGGCAGGATGGAGCCACGAGCGACTCATCTGGCAGGTGTGGGGAGGCGGGGCATGCACCCCAGGAGGGCATGGGCAGCGTGTGCCCCTGGATCTGCATGTGGGGTGGGCTGCAGCTGTGGGCTGGGGCCAGGCTTTTCCCAGAGGGGGGCTGGGTTGCCGGGAAGAGCTCGGGCTGCGGCAGTGGTGCTGGGAGCCGCTGCAGCCACCTGAAAATTCACTATAACCCCCGTTCACTGTGTGCCACTGCTGCATACCTGACTGCAGCGCAGCACAGTCTTTGCCAGGAACACCTCAGCACAGCCTACCCCCGCCACCCTCCCTGGGAATGGGAACTGTGCGCCCAGGATCTGCATTGGGGAGGATGGCTGCCGCAGTGGGCTAGGCATGTGAGGCTGCATTGGGCTGTGCTGGGGTGGGCGGCGGCAGCACTGGGAAGGGCCTTGGGGGGGCTACTGCCCCCCCCCACCCCGTAGTCCCGCTCCCAGCGCCACCATGTGCTGGGCTCTTCCCAGCAGCCCAGCTCCCGCTCTGGGAAGCACCCGGCCCCAGCCCACAGCTGCAGCCCGTCCTGCGTGCAGGTCTGGGGGCACACGCCGCCTGTGCCCTCCTGGGGTGCATGCCCCCCAGATGAGCCACTGATGGTTCCGTTCTGCCCCCCCTAGCTGCAGGGCCTACCCCTGCCCCACTCCCTACTTCACCGCTGTGGTGGGGGGAGCAAATCATGGCCCCCGTGGTCAGTGAGGGAGTGGGGCTAGGTCTGGGGCACCTATTTGCCCCACCCCTTCTGCCACAGTCTTACTTTCTGGGGGAGCGCCCCCAAATAATTTTTTCTTCCTCTGCCTCATCTGTCCCCCTTCCTTCCCTCCCCACAGATTTACCAGCTGGGTGGGGTGCGGGGTAGGTCTTGTGTTGCTTTTAAATTCCAAAAGTGATCTCCTGCTGAAAAAGGTTGGAGACCACTGTTTTAATACGTTGTATATTGAGACTTTTAGCCATCATTTAGGGCAGGCTTGTGCAATATGCAGCCTGCCAAGCTGTTTTCTGAGGCCTGAGATGCTGTGACAGGAATTGAAAGTAAACACTGTTTACTTTTGTTCCCACCCCTTCTCCCTCCCCCAGCCCCTCAGCAGCTTCCTGATGTGGGGGGGTGGTCCTTTGGCTGGCCCACTGGGTGATTAAAAAGTTCATGATCTGGCCCCACATTCCAAAAAGGTTGGAAACCCCTGATTTAAGGCACTTTATGCACAGGCTCTGAGAGGTATGGGGGGGGCACTTTAATTAGCGCAGGTCCAAAAGCACCCAGAGCATCACGCATATCAGCATCTCCGTGCTGAAAAATGGCAGTGGGGTGTTTTGAACTA